GGGATGAACTGCAACCAACGTATGTGCCCTTGACTGGAATAGAACTCACAACTCCTTTTCTGTGGGCCGACACTGTAACTGCTGAGCCAAATTGGCCAGGGCTCGTTTTCTTTTTGCTGCTCTGATTGGGTGTTTTCTGCTATGTTGTCTTCTAAATTGCTGATTCAGTTCTTGGTTTCATCTAACCTGGTGTTGATTCCTTCTAGTGTATTCTTCATTTCAGACTGGTTCTTATGGTTTCTATGTCCTTTTTTATGCTTACTGTCTCTAAGTTCTCACTGACTTTATTCATTCTTTCTCTGGGTTCCTTAAGCATCCTTATAACCATTGGTTTGCACTCTGTATCTGGTAGGTTGCTTATCTCCATTTCATTTAGTTCTTTTTCTAAAGATTTCTCCCGTTCTTTCATTTGAAGAATATTTCTTTGTTTCTCCATTTTGACTACCTGTCTGTTCTTGTTTCAGTGTATTAGGTACATCTATCTCCCAGTCTTGGTAAGGTTGCCTTATGTAGTAGCTGACTTGTGGGGCTCATTAGCACAGTCTTTTTGATCACCTGAGGTGGGTGCTCCAGGAGTGTCTCTTGTGTGGATTTGTGAGTTCTTTTGTTGTAATTAAGTCTTATTTTATTTGTGAAGTTTATTACTTTAAAATTTTTTATTGATTTTTTTAAAAACACTTTTTCTTTATGGATTTTAGAGAGTAAGGGAGAGAGAGTAACATCGATGTGAGAGAGATATACATCGATTGGCTGCCTCCTGCATGTCCCCCACTGGGGACTGAGTCTGCAACCTAGTCATGTGTCTTGACCAGGAATTGAACCAGGACCTCTCAGTCCATGGGACGACAGTCAGTCAGTCCACTGAGCCACACTGGCCAGGTTCCAGTCTGCTGAGCCATCCGTTGACAGAGCCCAGGGTGAGTGTCTGTGAATGAGATTTTGTGCACCACTCCTCTATGAGGGGGCCTAGGGTTCCAGCAGACTCCCATTTCTTCCTGGTGGACAGAATCCCTGATTTTCACAACCATATGTTAAGTGGGCTCCTTTTCCTGGCTCTGATGCTCTTGGCTGGGGAGCCCAGCATAGTATTTAGACCTGTTGCTTCTCTCAGGTAACCTTTGCTGCTGAGCTATCCCTCTAGATTCTCAACCACTGCATGTGGGTGCAGAGTCAGCCCTTTTCTCTTCGCCCTTCGTACTAGTCTCGATGTGGCTGCTTCTGTAAAATCTTGGTCATAAGACTTCTGTTTAGCTAGTCCTCATTTGGTTATTCAGGTTGACTGTTTTATAATTTAGTTTTAATTCCAGTTTGATCCTGGGAGGAGGTATGTGTAACTTCTACCTACTGTGCCACCATCTTGGATCATCTGATAGTATTTTTCGCTTGGATTGGTCAAAGTAAATCACACCAGCTTTTAATAGTCTGAAAATGAGCTAAGTTGTCCTAATAAACATGCACCTACAATGAATAGATTAATAAGTAACATTTAATTATGTAACTTCTGCGATCAGTTTTTGGTTTACAGAGGATATATATCAAGAATTTTGAGGCCCTGGCCAGTTTGGCTCAGTGGTTAGTGTCAGCCTGTGGACCAGGGAGTCCCAGGTTCGATTCCGGCCAAGGACTTGTGCCTCGGTTTCATTTCATCCCTGGCCCCTGTTGGGGTCATGCGGGTGGCAACCAATCGAAGTGTCTCTCAATGTCGATGTTTCTCTCTTTCCCTCTCTCCCCTTCCCACTCTGTCTTAAGATAAATGTAAAAATATCCTCTGGTGAGGATTAAAAAAAAAGGAATTTTGATATATAAGGATAATTTCTATTTACTATATTATGGCCAATTGATGTGATGAATGGAGAGGGATAAAAATTATCTAAAATATACATGTGACAGGATGTATGTAACGTGTAGTGTGGGAAAATATGAAACGTGTTTACATTAGCTTGAAACAAGATGTGGGCTGATAGGTAAGTTGTATGTTACTAACTTAGCTCTACTGGTCTTTTAACTATATATCTTTGCAAAATATACTTGATATATTAAAGGGTCTTTTAAGTTTAAGTTTAGATTTAAGTTTTAGGTTTAAATTTACAGTATTACCCCCACAGTCTTGATATTTCAGTATATTAAATCACTCAGAATTTTGATAGGCCTGAAATTTTCTTGGGTACTTACTTACTTGTTTCTTTAGCTCCTTTCTGATAAAACCACTTGTAAAGTATTAAATGTCATTATATACCTTTAAAGTGTGCTTTGGGTTTGAAACAATTTAGTTATATCTTTTCTATGTGTATAAGTTGTATAATTTGTTATTTTTGAAATATCATTACTTCAATACAGTCAGTTTTTGTATGGTAGTTCTTTTGTTTTTGTTATGTACAAAAATTGAGGAAAATGGGGATGCAAACCAATATTTTGCTTTGGAGCACATTTCCTAAGCATAAGTTTATCCTTTTAATTATGTTTACTTAATCAGATGTTCAATTTGTTTGCATTCTTTGAGAATGGATTTACTTGGGTAATCCATAAAATCAATAATTCAAATACAGCTAAATGAGAGTTGACAGTATATTATAGTGATGATATTATACTTTTCAGAAAAAAAATTTTAAGCAAATAATTTTCTTTTTATTATAGTGATCTGCTTTTGATATTTCATTGCAACTGAGATCTGTTTTTAGAATAAAATTTTGTTCTCCATGAAAGAAAATTAGAATTATTCTTGGGGAATGACTTCATAATGTTAAGGGTAATCAAGCTTGTTCAAAATTACTTTAAAAAGTAATTCAGTAGCAATATGTTGTGAAGATCCTAACTATATAGCTATGGAAAAATAGCAGTTGTCTCAGTGTTATGTGAATAGAAACTTACAGCTTAGAGTGAAAATTTCCAGGGGTCATCCTACAGGATTTTACAAAAAGTTTTTATTCTCACACAATTTATATGGAGATAAGTAGAAGTTTCATGTAATTCTTAGTATGGACACTAAAGTGATCATTGACATGATTTATTGTTTCAGGTGGATTACCTTGTTTAATTTTCACAATGATTCTGTGAGGTAGGAACTCTTGTTATCTCACTTTTAGAGATGAGAAAACTGCTGAGGTCACATGTCAAGTTGGCAGTAGAACTGGGAGTTGGACCTGGGCAGTCTAACTCCTAGATCTGTGCTATGATGTGCTGCTTGTGTAGCTTGTAGTGCTATGTAACTTAAGGGTTAAAAGAGTGACTTTGGTCTAGAAACTGGCAGGTCACATAACTTCTTTAATTTTTTTTTTTAAATCCTCACCCGAGGATATTTTTCTATTTATCTTCAGATAGAGTGGGAGGTAGAGAGAGGGAGAGAAAGGGAGAGAGAGAGAAAAACATCCACGTGAGAGGGACACATTAACTGGTTGCCTCCTGCACCACCCGACCAGGGCTGGGGACGAACCGCAACCGAGGTATGTGCCCTTGGCCAGAATCAAACCCTAAACTCATTGGTCCACGGGCCAATGCTCTACCACTGAGCCAGACCAGCCAGGGCCACATAACTTCTTTAAACTTGAGTTTCTACAGCTGTAGAATGGATGCTTTTAGGATTCAATGGGATACTTTATTTAAAATAGCATACAATGTATGCTAAACAAATGGTTATTAATAATCACAGCTGTTACAGTAATGACCACTCTTGTTTATGTGATTTAAAACAGCTCCATATTTCTATGGCCCAAGATTTTCAAGCATTTTTTATGAAGCACGGTATATAAAGTGACTGGTGTTTCTCTTCTAAGTTATAGTACTTACTGGCTTTTGATTATATGTCTAGAAGGATTACTGTGAATTAGTAAGTGAAATAGATATTTTGGTTTTAGCAAGAGACAGAAGTTACACAAATGACAATTGCTTTAAAGAAGATAGCACTTTGCTTGTATGTGTGTGCATGAGAAAGAGAGTGTGTGAGTATGTAGTGCCACCAGAGCCAGAGAAAAGGTTCTGAGAGCATTTACCGAATTCTTTCAGGACTTGTGCAGTGGGGCTGGAGGATGTTTCATGTTAGATGCTGTTGTGAACAGAGAAAAACCCAGGGCCCCCTTTTTTTTTTGGAGAGGCCAGACCAGTAATCCTACGAAAGTTTATGATAAATTGTAAGAATCATGATTTTATTCCAGGTATTAGAAGTCAAAATGAAGGCAAAGACCAGGTTTAGTGAAAATGAGGGAGTAGGAAACTGAAGGGCTAGGAGAGTCTAGGTAGAGAGGAAGATATCTGTGTTAAGATTTTAGAAATAAATTAAGGAGTGAAGAAGTTAAAGGCTGGAGAAGTGGTGGTATGAGAAAGGTTTGTGGATTGTATAAAATTTGCCAGGGTTTGGGCAAAGATGTGAAGGGCACATACTAGGAAACTGATATATCCATAAGGAAATAATTATTTTAATCGTGTAACTCCCCAAGTGAGGGTTAATGATTATGTACTGGTGCTAACCTGAGAGATAGGACCCCATCGATTAGGGATAAGAGCAGGAAAGAGACTGACTGGGCACTGTGGGCGTGACTGCTTTAGCATTCTAGAAAATAGTACATTTTAGTACATTTTAAAAGATGCACATAATTCTATTCCTTATAAATCATTAGAGGGTATATGTTAACAAAATTGAACTTTTATGAACTTTCTGGTCATGTCCTTTTATTTGATGCAGGAAATTTATTTGGCTAGGACCCAAAATCTCAACTACTTCATAATGATTTCCTTATGATTAATTTATGTCAGTATGAAATTTATTACTTAGGAATTTATATACGTGTTCTGTACAGTTGTTAATATTTGGTACAGTGCTTTCTTTAGAATTTTCATTTTGAGAGGTTATTAGATTAAACATTTTGTGCAGCAGAATATATTTTTAGAGGCAGTTTTTTTTGGGGGAAATAATTTATAAAGGTTAATTTGGAAAATGCTGAGATTGAATATGTATAACTTTTATAATTGTGAGGTTTTTGCATTTACATTGACATTCTTTTATATAGGAGTTAAAGTTCCTCGTAATTTTCGCTTGTTGGAAGAACTTGAAGAAGGACAAAAAGGAGTAGGCGATGGGACGGTTAGCTGGGGCCTTGAAGATGATGAAGATATGACACTTACGAGGTGGACAGGCATGATTATTGGGCCACCAAGGGTCAGTGCTATAAATTATATTTTTTTCTATTTTGTTTTACTTTATAGTAAGCATTTTATTTTATAATAATGATATTAAAATAATTATGATAACTGTTAACTGAAACAATTACTCCCTTTTTATTTTGGATACATTTATTGATGCTTTCCTTGTGCATAGTATAATACTTGATTTTCTGAAGGACTGGGGGGAAAGATTGACATGGTCATTGCCAGCCAAGTGTTTGTAGTTTAGTAGAGAAGAAAAAATAAATACAAAAGACAGACTCTAAATATGGCAGAGAAAGTTCACTGCGGGACTTTAGAATATGTTTCTTCTAGCTGGAATAATTGAGGAAGGCTGAACAGTGGAGGAAGTTGCCTTTGGAATGAGCCTTAAAGAACTGACTGGTAGGATTTCAGAAGGTGGTGATGGGGATGGAGAACATTCCAGATAGAGAGGAGAAAAGGTGAGGAAATGGAGGGGTTATTTGGGAAGAGCAAACAGTGTGTTTTGACATAACATATTACTAACCCACTATGTGTAACAATGATTTCTAAATTGGTTTCTGTTGAGTGCACATTGCTATTTGCTTTGTGATATTTGACTTACTATGAATGCTGTAGGCCTCAGTTTCTTCATCTATAACGTATATCGGAAAGTATGATTCTTGAATGTTTTCTAGCAATGTTGTGAACAGGCCCATTGTGTTTTATTTTTAGTTCTTTCTAAAGTTTGTGAAGTTTTATTTTTACTCAAAATTTTTTCAGATTGGGAAACTTTTTTCTGCATTGTGTTCCTTACTCGAAGGTCCCATTTATTGCACACCCTGCAGTGAGTCTTTGAAATATGTATTATTTAATGTTTGACTTGCTGGAAAAAAACACAAATTTGGAGATTTTTATTTTTTTCACTCTGGTTTTGTATACTGTTTGCTACCTTGTGATGAGAACACTTCAATAGTTTTCCAGTTGGGTAGAGTTTAGATTTCTTATGGATTATTACAAAAAAAAAAAAAAGGACCAGGTAATTAGCAATGTTAACTTCAAAGAATTAGTTACTGTATATTTTATATTTTCTGGTATTCTTTTGCAAAATTTGTATGTACTACTAAACTAACAAATGCCCCCATCCCCCTGCTCTGATTTTTCCATAAGGCTTTTGAAGAAGGAAATATATTGATGATTAGAATTTTAAAAAAATTTTTTCTTTATTGATTTTATTTTTATTTCTTTATTTTTTATCCTCACCCGAGGATATTTTTGCATTTATCTTCAGATAGAGCGGGAGGGAGAGGGGGAGGAAGAGAGAGAGAGAGAAACATTGATGTGAGAGAGACACATCGACTGGCTGCCTCCCACATGACCCCAACCAGGACCGTGGATGAACTGCAACTGAGGTACATGTCCTTAGCGGGAACCGAACCGGGGACTCCCTGGTCCGTGGGCTGACACTCTAACCACTGAGCCAAATCAGCCAGGGCAGTGATTAGAATTTTTACTGTGTTTTATAACTTGGTATTTATAATGAACACTTTGATTTTCACTGCCTGTGAACATTATTACCATAGTCTGTTTGGTAAAAAAAAAAGTGCTTATAACTTATGAACATTCTTATTTAACAAATAGTTTGAATATTGGACAGTCTGAACTTGGAGTATGAATTTCAAATTATTTAGATTTGTTAGTTTTTTTCAGCCACTACCTCCAGTAGACTTTAAACTTTAAGACTGTTTTGGAGCATATGTATAATTTCCTCAGCGATTTTTGTAGGCTGGTTCAAAGCACAGTTTTCAAATGTGGAAGAACAGCTCTGCCTGATCTCTTGCCCAGTTGTGGCCACCAATAGGACTCTCCAAGCTGGCTGCCTTGCATGGTGTCGCAGACCTTCAGGGAGCTCCCATGCCCAGGCTGTGCCCAGTGGGGGGCAGACACTGTACTAGCTTATGGGAGGGTAGAGCCTGCTCAGCAAGAGGGGCACATAGACCAGTGCTGCTGACTGCCAGGCCAGGCTTCTCTTCCACTGGGTCCTCTGCTTTCTGTGGGTGGTAGTATCCTCTCACTCTTGGGAAGAGGCAGGAGCGGGGACTACCTTGCAAGGGCACAGCTCTTCCCAAGCCAGACTATTCACCACACAATGATTTTCTGCCTTGCATCCTCTCTCAAGTTATCTCCCTCACTGAGGAGGCATATGGGACTGGGTGAAAGTGAGTGGTTCCAGCACTCATTCATTTGTCACTTAATAATACCTGCTGGGGTTGTTGTTTCATCTTAGTTGTTTTCTGTTTAGAAGGTGCCATATTTGGAGCAATGTTGTCCCCAGTTGTAGGTATCCACATTCAGCCAGGGTAATAGGAAAATTCTTATCTTAACATACTGTTACTTGATTAGCTTTTTTTTTTAATGGTACTGCTTAAGATTACTCTGTGTGTGTGTGTTATTCCATTATCTGGATTTATATGATTAGCAATTTTGTTTATTCATATGTCTGTGTGTAAAATTTTCTGGAGCAGTTTTTAGCGTTAGAGATTTAGTTACTTTTTCTTATATGTTTGTTTCTTTATGTGTAAATGGAGGTACTATGTCTTTCTTTAGAAGTTTTGAGAATTAAATGAATTAGTAATTAGATAATAGAGTAACTGTCGTACTTTCTGAATAATTATTAGTTCCTTTTACTACTGTCTTCTATTTTATTTTATTCCTTTGTTAGATAATAGAAAGATTTGGCTGTTAATTTAAAATTTAGAGGTGAAAAGAAAAATTAACCCAAGATGTTAAAAGTTAGTGTGATGTTTACTCTGAGCACTGAATTAGATCAATGGGCTAGCTTATAATTTTTAACTTTAAAAAAAATTTGAGGTATAATATACATATAGTAAAATGCATAGATCTTACTATGAGTTTTGATAAATGTACCTTGTTACCCATATGCTTACTGAGATAGAGAACAATTCCATCACCCCAGAAAGTTTTGTGTTCCTTCCCATCCCCCCATCCCCATCCCAACCCTAGTCACTACTTTGTGCACCAGAGAGTAGTTTTGACGGTTGTAGAGCTTTATGTGAGTGAAATCATGCAGTGTGTTCACTTACCAGTCTGCTTCTATTGACTCAGTATAATGTCTCAGACAGTCATCTGTATTGTTCCATGTAGCAGTAGTGTTTTTTTTACTGAGTAATATTTTACTTTAAGGATATACCATGGTATGTTTATCAGCTCTCCTGTTCATGGATATTTGGATTTTATCTGTTTTCTGGCTATTACAAATAAAGCTGCTAGAGCATTCTTTATATTTTTTTTTTTGTGAACATATGTTTATCTCCATTTCTCTTGCTTTAAATGCTTAGGTATGGAATTGCAAGCTCATAGGGTAGGTGTACGCTTACTTAACATTTATAAGAAAATACCACATTGTGTACAAAATGGTTATACTGCTTTCCACATCTAGCAGAGTATGAAAGTTCTGGTTGTTTCCACATACTTTGAGTATCTTTTTTGTTGTTGTTGCTAATCCTCACCTGAGGATATTTTTTCCATTGATTTTTTTTTTTTTTTTTAGAGAGCATTGAAGGGAGAAAGAGAGAGAGAGACTTTGATGTGAGAGAGACACATCTATTGGTTGGCTTCTATACGACTCTGACTGGGGCTGGGGACCGAACCTACAACTCAGGTATGTGCCCTTGACCAGGAATTGAACCCGAGACCCTTAGGTCCTCAGACCAATGCTCTAATGCTCTAACCACTAAGCCACTCCAGCAGGGCACTTTGAGTATCTTTAACATTATGAATTTCAGGGGAGCTATTATAATTATTGTTATTTTTAAAATGCAAGTTTTTTAGAGAGGCTAATGTGCATCTAGATTGGAGAACCACAGGCTAGATGATTTCCTTAGATTTGTCTGGTTTTAGTCCTTTTTATACATATCAAAAGTGCTGGTCATTTTATTAATATATTTGCCATTAAACTTCGATGAGTTTTATACAGCTGTTTCTTTTTTAAAATATTGAAATGTTTAATATATATACAAGATTGTTGCATCCATTTTAAACTATAGTAGTTGTATATCCCAGATCTGACCTCCACTTGGGAGTAACCTCTTACTTAAGGGAAAGGAAGCTGTGGATCAGTTTTGGTAAGTGAAATCTGTAGATGGATGGTTAGTTGCTCCCCACCCCTGCAAGGCTTATTGTAGAAACCAACAGGCATCACATTTGTCCCTTTTATTTAATTCTTATGTTTTTATTTTAATTGTATACAAGAAAGTTAACCAAGTGAGCAAATCATAAGGATAAAGAAGAGTTCAGTATAGGCATAAAAATAAGCCATGAATAATCTAGAATCATTAAGTCTGGTAGCTTTAAAATGGCCTTTTTATTGTATGGCTATATTAAACTTCTTTAAGAAACCCTATTTTAAATGATGTGGAAACATAAATTTTGCTTTTTTTTAATCTCTGAATTCAGATAATGGAATTTAACGAACCACAGAGTTAATGAAGTAGTAATATAAGTATGACTAATGAGGCATGAAATAATTATTTTCTTGCTGTAAGATGGTGTAATATAGTGTTGTTGTTTTTATGCTAGAAATTATTGATTGCCTTATAAGTGGGATAACCATATTATTTATTGTCCAACCAGATTCTTTTGAGATTGAAGAGAGAAGCATTATTAATATGAATACTGGAACAATAGGAATAAACACAATTTTCCTGGACAAATGGGAACTTTTATATGTGTGTGACACAGTCAAGTTGTCCCTCACCCCACAATGTAAACTTTTTAGTAAAACCTGAATTTAAGTGGTTTGCTTTTTCTTTTAATTTGCTATCGGCATTGTTTGTATTACAAAAAGTAAGCTTTGATCATTTTGATATGACTGTGTAGAATTATTTTATTAAGTCTCTACTTTTAATTATACTTGCTACAGTTTTTTTCTAATCATATAGATCAAAAACATTTGAATGTAGAAAAGTAAATCCTTGATCACATACACAGTAATAATTCAAATTGTACTTTTCCTCTTTATTAGCACTTGAATATTATTATTGTTTTTTTGCCTTTCAGACAAACTATGAAAACAGAATATATAGCCTGAAAGTAGAATGTGGACCTAAATACCCAGAAGCTCCTCCATCAGTTAGATTTGTAACCAAAATTAATATGAATGGAATAAATAATTCCAGTGGAATGGTAAGTTAAAGTAGTCATTTTATTCTTATATAACCTATAATATTATTTTCAGGAAAAAGTAAAAAAAAAAAAAGGTACCTTTGTTTAGATGAAAGTCTAAAGAAGTTTATCTTGTGTTGTTTTTCTTTTATAAATCAACCCATTTTTACAACCTTTATGTACCAGCCTATATAGATGTGATAGTAGCATTTCTCTTAGAGTTTTATTAATTGCTTCAGTAGTCATATTTCATTGAATCCTTATTTGGTGAAAAGATGACCATTATTATTTTTTTTAATATTATGTTTCTTTAGGGTTAAATTATATTTGGTGAAAGTAAAAGGATGAATATTATCAAGAGGAGGTTTTTTCTTTGAGGAACCAAGTATGTCTGTATTGGAACAAGCCGTTGTAGTTGAGCACTGTTGTTTATTTAAAGTGAATAAACCAAAATGACACACTCTACCTGTCACAAGAAAGTGGAAATAGTTGAATTTCTAATATAAGTAGATTGTTAGGTTCAGACTTTAAAGGTTAGGCTCTTGAGGTGCCATGTTGAGATCACACTTATATGCAAAATGCATGTTAGGAATCATAATAACAGAATAATAAAATTAACTTCATCCATTTTAGGAAATACAATGTTATCAATATTCTTAACTTCTGTGTGCTCCTCCTCATCCCATCCCTGTGTTCTCTTTTCTACCAATGGTAATTAACATCTTGAAATTTGTCTTTCATAGTTACTTATGTTTCTTTATAGGTTTACTGAATGTATCACCTATGTACACCTATTCTTGTTCCCACTTCCCTCCCTCCCTCCCTCCCTCCCTCCCTCCCTCCCTTCCTTCCTTCCTTCCTTCCTTCCTTCCTTCCTTCCTTCCTTCATCTCTCTCTCTCTCTCTCTCTCCTATCTATCAATATCTGTCTAAAATCATTAATTTATGATTTTACCTATACCTCTAATTCTATTCCAACACTACAGTGTTTATTACAGATTTCATTCTTCCTGTTTTTGTAATCCCTCCTCCAACAGTGAGAAACCTGGCTCTCATTATCCTTAATACAGGGTGGGGCAGAAGTAGGTTTACAGTTGTGAGTATGTGAAACACAAGAGTTTATTCTTGTTTTATGATTTATTATTGTATTATTTTTCATATGAACAATTGTAAACTTACTTTGCCACACCTTTATATTTACTTATATTTGCTCAGTTCTCCCTGTATGTAACCACACTTCTTCTGGCAACAGATGTAGCCCTGGACACACAACTGGCTCCTCACCCCCCACCCTCAGCCTAATATGCAGGTCCAGACGTGGGTGCCATATATGCTTGCACCTCCCTACTGGGCGTATTGGCCAAAAGCCTGACCCTGACAGGAGGAAGGTGCAACGGTCATGAGAAATCTCAGCTCTGGACATGCTGAGTCACTCCCAGACCTCCCTTCTGGTATGTACAAACTCAAAGCTGGGCCCAGAGAGTCCTCTCTGTTAGTCAGTCAGTCTTTGTAATTTTCCAGGAACATTTAGACCATTTACATTTAATGTACAATAAGTATTGATACATTCAAATTCATTTACTTATTTAAATGATAATTTTATTTATTTATTTTTTTAATATGTTTTTATTTGTTTTTTTTTTTTTAGAGAGAGAGGAGAGAGAGAGATAGAAACATTGATGTGAGAGAGAAACATCGATTGGCTGCCTCCTGCACGCCCCCTATCTGAGCATGTGCCCTGACTAGGAATCTAATGGGACCTCTCAGTCCATGGGATGATGTTCAGTCCTCTGACCCACATTGGCCAGGTGGCACATTCAAGTTTAAATAAATCATTTTATTTAATGGCTTTTATTTTCCCATGTATTTCTTGTTTCTTGCCTACTTTTTTTTTTTTTTATTCTCACCCGAGGACATTTTTGCATTTATCCTTAGATAGAGCTGGAGGGAGAAAGGGAGGAAGAGAGAGAGAGAAACATTGACGTGAGAGAGATACATCGAGTGGTTGCCACCCACATGACCCCAACCGGGCTGGGGACAAACTGCAACTGAGGTACATGCCCTTAGCGCAGCGGTTCTTGTGACCCCTTTGGGGTCAAATGACCCTTTCACAGGGGTTGTCTAAGACCATTGGAAAACACACATTTCCGATGGCGATTCATAACAGTAGCAAAATTACAGTTATGAAGTAGCAACGAAAATAATTTTATGGTTGGGGTCACCACAACATGAGGAACTGTATGAAAAGGTTGTGGTATTAGGAAGGTTGAGAAACACTGCCTTAGCGGGGACCCGAACAAGGAACTCTCTGGTCTGTGGGCTGATGCTCTAATTGCTGAGCCACACTGGCCAGGACTCTTGCCTACCTTTGAACTAGTTCTTTTCAATCTTTTTCATTCTGTTTCTGTTCTTACAGTGGTTATTCTAGAAATTGTAGAGTAGATTCTTAAATATTTATGTTAAGTAATATTAAGAGATGTGATGGAAGGAGGATTTAAGAAACATTTGAATTTACAGAAAGGATATTGTTTAGGGAATTTGTTTTATGACATAGCAATGCCTTTATGAGAGTGATATTTTAATTAAATTTCTCTACCAGGAGTAGCTTTTCTTCTCAACTGTTGGTTTGTTTTCATATTATAGACTCTATAAATTAAGTAATTAATGGTGGATTCTACACTGTTGTGGGAACTAGGAAATTTGGGATGCAGTTTCAAACTGATCTTTAATAACCTCTAACAATCTTTTAATGACCTTTATCTGATCTAAAAAGGGCTTTTGTACACCTTTTGACATTTTGTCTCCCTATTTCTTTTCCTCAATCTGTCATTAAGCCCTGTTAGTCTTTGTTGAAAATGTAACTTGAGTCAGGCCTTATATTTCTATTTTCATTGTCACAAATGAATGCCTCCCGTTATCTCTTGTCTGGACCCTTCAAAAACTCTGATTCTAATTTTTTACTCCCTCCAGTCTTTACAAAGCAAGCTGCCAGAGGGATCTTTCTAAAACAAATTGGGTCACATCACTTAGTGCTTAGAATTCTTTTTTTTTTAATCTTCACCCGAGGATACCTTTCCACCTTTTGTTCAGACAGAGTGAGAGAGAGAGAGAGAGAGAGGAAGAGAGAGAGAGACACATCGATGTGAAAGGGACACATCAAGTGGTTGCCACCCACACGACCAACCAGGGCCGGGGACAAACTGCAACCGAGGTACGCGCCCTTAGTGGGAAACGAACCCAGGTATCTCTGGACCACGGGCCGACGCTCTAATCTCTGAGCTAAACCGACCAGGGCTGTGCTTAGAATTCTTTAATGGCTTCAGCCACAGTGTAAACACTTCTTGCCATGGCTCATCAGCTCACAGAGTATGCACTGCTCTGTACACCTTTCATTTGGCCCTAGGACCTTTGCACTGTCTGTTCTTCCTGTTTAGACATCTCCTCTGGCTAATCCTTACATATTCTCAGTGTAAATGTTTCTTTCTTAGAGAAGTCTTCTTTCCTGATGCCCCAATTGGAATTATATCTCTTGTTACTCTGTTATAGTCACATTGTTATTATTTTCCTTTGTAGCAGATACTGTAAATTTATTATCACTTTTCTCTTATTTTTATTTGTGATAAAGACTGCATTATAAATAGTTAACTCTCGGTGTGCCTTTCCCCAGTTTCCTCTTTCCTCAGAGGTAGTTCCATTTTGAATTTACTATTTATAGTTTCTGTGCATGACTGTTGTGCTTTTACTATGCACATGTATGTATACCTTTTATATTGTGTGATTTGTGTGTGGAATCATATGTCAGTGATTTTTGAGATTCACATGTTGGGTCATGAAAATTAGATTGTTTCTTTTTATTATTTACTATTCCATTTTTCACTTGCTGAGCATTTAGGATTTTTCAGTTTTCTCTGAAAAGATTGTCCAAGTGTTTTTGTACCTTAAGGCAGTACATCTCAGGACCTGGTGTTTATTGGTTCTAATGTTGTAGATTAATACTTTTGTAAAGTATAATAAAATTGAATTACTAGAAAATCTGAATTTTTTTTTATCCTCACCCGAGGACATTTTTGCATTTATCTTTAGATAGATAGAGCGGGAGGGAGAGAGGGAGTAAGAGAGAGAGAGAGAAACATAGATGTGAGAGAGACACATCGAGTGGTTGCCACCCGCACGACCCCAACCTGGGCCAGGGACAAACTGCAACTGAGGTATGTGCCCTTAGTGGGAACCGAACCCAGGCCTCTCTGGTCCATGGGCTGACTGACGCTCTAACCGCTGAGCCAAACCGGCCAGGGCCAAGCTCTGAATTTTTTAAAATAAAAATTTCTCTGTCAAATTGCTGTAGAACTCTCTACACACCTACTCTCAATTATCTTGTCATGGACTAGTAAAAATCAGTTCTCGGCCTGGCGCTGTTCCATGGAACATACTTTGAATAGCACTTGCTCCAGGGCACATACCTAGAAGTGGAATGTCTGCTGAGGTGTGGGGCTTATCTTCAGCTTGACTAAAGATTGCCAAGTTGCTTCCCACAGGGCTATGTCCATGTCTGTCCAACTAGCTATGTGTAAGAATACCCTGTGAATGTACCTTCCTACCAATACTTCATAATGTCAAACTGGAATGGGGAAGCGAAACCAGTAAAATAAATACTGATTTTAGTTAGTGGAGTGTAAATTATTACTTTTATAAATAGTAAATAAATAGGGAATTTCACATTGACCATTGGTGATTGTGCCAGGATAATTTTATATATTTGAGGTTTTCTAAGTACAGATGAATTATGGGTGTTGCTTTAGTCATTTTGGTTTAAATTTACTTAATACAACTAGTCAAAATTATTTCTTGTGGGTGGTTGGCACTGTAAAGCATAAGTTACAGTGCTTTATACTTTATGCTCCGTTTTGGAAGTTATTGTATATTATAGATTGATAAGATGCAGATTTATTCTGACATGATATTTATTTTCCCATGCTCTTTCCCCCCCCTCCCTTTTTATTAAATTTTGTCCCCCAATTTTTA